GCTATTGTCACTATATGCTGGATGCGTCTTCACCATGACACCCAGAGAGAGCTGCTTCCCTCCACATACACTGAAGCACATGGTACACCCTCACAGGTTACCCACAAGGCTACCGCCCTTAAAGGGGACAAAAGGGTGAGCAGGTAACACTCCTAAAACCTACCGACGTATCCATCAAATCTTAATTGGAAAATGCTACATACAGAACCACTTCCAAGCAGAGCATTTCTACATTGTCCGCATTATTTCTGGAGGGGATATGTAAATGTACTGTTGCTAAATTAGGGAGTGAAATTGCTCAACAAGAAGCACAATAAACAAACTAAGATTAGGCTGCTGTACTATGGCAAGCCGTTTTAACATTTAATCGCTAGACTGGATATTCATTACTGATATCTGCAACATAATTTTGCCTAGTCAAAACTCTTATTCAAGATATCCCTAATTAGATTTTGACTAGTCAAAACTCTAATTACAGATATCTGTAATTCAGTTTTGACTAGTAAGATTCAAACTATTTTTGCCATTCATGTGTATGGGGTTTGTCATTATAGATATCTCCAATGTAGTTGCGGATATCTGCAATTCTTATTGTGGATATCTGCAACTGAATTGTGGATATCTGTAATTCTAGTTTGAGATATCTACAATTTAATTTTGACTAGTCATAATTCAAGTTCAAGATATTTTTAATTATCATCAATTGAAGATATCTACATGGTCCTTTCTAGATATCTTGAATTGAGTTTCAGATAGTCAGAATGACATTGTAGATATCTTGAATTCGAATTATGACTAGTCAAAATGACGTTGTAGATATCTGTAACTGAAATATGACTCAAAATGACGTTGTAGATATCCGCAACTGAATTATGACTAGTCAAAATGACGTTGTAGATATCTGTAACTGAATTATGACTAGTCAAAATGACGTTGTAGATATCTACAACTGAATTATGACTAGTCAAAACGACGTTGTAGATATCTCAAACTGGAATTATAGATAGTCATAATGTAATTCTAGATATCTATAATGACAAACCCCATACACATGAATGGCAAAAATAGTTTGAATCTTACTAGTCAAAACTGAATTACAGATATCTGTAACTGTAGTTTTGACTAGTCAGAATGACATTATAGATATCTGTCATTCAGTTTTGACTAGTCAAAATGACGTTACAGATATCTGTAATTCAGTTTTGACTAGTCAGAATGATGTTACAGATATCTTAAATTAAAATTCATACTAATCACAATGACATTACTACTAGTCAAAATGACGTTATAGATATCTATATTGGTAATTCTGGATAGTCAAACTTAGTGATTAAATGTTAAAACGGCTTGCCATAGCTGTACACTTATTCGCCCACTCACTTCCTCAAGTACACACATTCTCAAAGATTTCTTGTTCCTTAATTAGTGAACACGTACAGCACCTAATCTAACCTGTGTAAATAAGGCTGTTTCAAAAGCACATGTCCTACTTTAGTAACCAGCAGCTGCTGTTGATTTTTAACACCACCTCGCACACCTCTAAGATCACGTTAGTTGACAATTACCTGAAGAAGTCATCTTGTGTTGCTGTGTCTCCAGAAGAGGAAGTGGATGTTAATGAATGCCTTTTGTATAAACAGACATATTTCTTAGGGTTTAGTACCTGACCAGCAGCATTTCCACCTTACAGGGCATGTTGGCAAATCAGTGACACGGTGCAGCTTTGTAGGTTGTGGGTTCCTGGCGTGTGCTCCACTATGGAGACAGATACAGTGACAGGAAGATGAGTCACAGTGAAAAACTTGAACAAGTGACTGACAAAAGTATGCATCAGACTTACGTATGTAGAGACAAGTGAACTTGCAAAGAAGCTAATAGGGTCACTGCAGCACTAAGATAAGATTATTGATTACTAAGAGCATTGACTCGCACATTTTAGCACATTACATTTTTTTTATCATGCAAATATATTATACATAAAACTCAGATTGCCTTAAATGGTGCCAGGGTCTATCTTAGAAAGTTTAAAGATGTCTAAATTCACAGTTCTCATAATCAGCCTGCATTGTGATTTCTTTGCTTTCCCTTGTTTCGACCTTGCCGGAAGCCCAAATTTGGCCACAACCAGTGGAGCTTTGCTTCCCCCATGCAATCATTAAAGGGATTAGGTATTAAGTCCTTTCTTTTATTCATACCACTGAGGGCCAAGTAATACAACACATATAGAATACAAATGTTTTAATCTGTAGAACAGTTTAATGCAGGAATCCCAAATATCTAAATCGTGCCGTAGCCTTGAGATAGCAGGCTGACATCCATTTCTAAATGGGGTCAAGCTAAACATTGCAGTGTGATATCGCACATGTCGTCCATCCTCAGCTGCCTTTCTGAACTTTGGACTGACCCACACACATATGCTGCCAAAAAAGAAATTTAAGACTAAGTAAGAGACAAGATAAAATGTGATTATCACTGAAACTTTACTCCCATTAACATTAACATTAAGATAAAGGAGACAGACAGCTTGAGTGATCTCTCGCTGTTCACCATATATCACCAAATGTCATAGACAGAATACGAACATCACTAACACACCAACACGCTGCTGTTTATCAGGTACACTATAATGTGTACCATGTTCAACTCCTTACCTTTGTGTTAGCCTGATAACACTGGGTAATTAGCGCTAAGCACAAAGTACAACCAAAGCCAGAGTCCTGCATCAAGTACCCTGCAAGTGACCTGCAAAAAAAAGTGATTCACAGGTGGTAATTATTCATTCATTCATTCTCCATAACTGCTTATTTTGTTGGGGAGCTGGAGCCTATCCCAGCTGACATTGGGCAAGAGGCGGGGTACACCCTGGACAGGTCACCAGACTATCACAGGGCTGACACATAGAGACAGACAACCATTCACACTCACATTCACACCTACGGACAATTTAGAGTCACCAATTAACCTGCATGTCTTTGGAGTATGGTAGGAAGCTGGAGTACCCAGAGAAAACCCACGCTGATACGAGAACATGCAAATACCCAGGTGGTATTTGGTTTTAATTTTATTTCTGGATTTGGTTCTGGGTGAAAAAAAGAACACGTGGGTCAGATGGCAGGTGTTGGATAATAAATATATTATTAAATTAGATTAATAATAATTTAATTAAATGCTTTAACATTTAATCCTCTAACTGGTGACTTTGTGTGTCAGCTCTGTCTAATGTGTCACCTGCAATATGTAACACCTGGAATATGTGACATGTGGGTATGTTTCTATGACAACAATATCTAGACACTAACGTTAGCTATGTAGCTATCAGGATGCTACATTAACAGAGTGTTGACTGTACTGTTAAAACCAAGCTTACAGAGTCAACGGTGATAAAAGCAAAACACTCACCAGCAACATCCAGTGTCTGCCAGCTGATCTGCTCCCAAAAGATGGGCTTTTCTGTCTTTGTTGTGACAGCAGGCTAGCTAAAGAAGCGGCAGTGATAACACCGACACCTTTCAGAAAGGTTCAGAGATTTTCAGCTGGAATTGCTGGGAGCAGCCACACCTTTGATAAAAGACACTGGGTACGACATTTTTTCTCAAGGCAGCCACATACGCTCAATCCTCAACAATTTAAAAAAGATGCCAACACTGACAGGCACATTACTAATAGGCACGTTAACTGTAAAAATGAGAATATGCAAAAATATTCATTCAAATTGCCTTTATTTTAAATTACACAGTCTTAGTTTCACAAGTATGACATGGCCAAAAAAGATCACTTTAAACGTGCTGCCTTACCAGATTATTTCAACAGGGCAGGGTTATTACAGGACATGCGATTTCTGGTCAGGATATGGATCGCACATCGGCGGGTCGGGTTGTGGAACTAATTGGTCATATGTGCAGGTGGTGGGGCGGGTGTGGTATTGCAAATCCTGGTTCTGGTTCAGGAGCAGGTCTTTAAAATCAGACCTGGGCAGCACTTTGGCTGAGGCTGACTGGAATGTCATTAGTTTTGCAGATATTTGGTCACACACTGAGGTATTGGACCAATTGAAATAGTGATGTAATGGAGGTCCTAGATTAAATGTCAGGGGTTTACTGAAGTAATTAAGATTCATCCTCGGGGTACCATCGATATTTATACCATATTTCAAGGCAATCCATCCAATAGTTGTCAAGACATTACACTAAAAACCAAAAATGTCAACCTCATGGAGTCAGGGATCACTATAGTCAGATAGTATTGTAAGATTCATCATCTGAGGACCATGAATGTACAGAACTATCAATCTAATAGTTGTTTAGAAATTCCAGTCTGTGCCAAAAAAGCAGACTGACGGACCAACATTGCCATCCATATAGCCACATCGCAACAGTAGCTATAAAGAAAGAATAAAGAATGAGAACACTGTAGGTACATGTAACATACTGGACACTGGATATAGTCAGTAGTGATATACTGTAAGACGGTCTATAAAAGGAATGATTACATAGGGCTGCATGAGAAGAGGGAGTGAAGATGTTTTAGATAGCTTTCATAGCAAATAATTTATTTAACAATGTTGCAGTCACAGCTGAATAATTTACTCTAAATTCTCAATAGACAGTAAGATATGATGATGTTACTGCACATTATGTAACTGTCAGCATCCAAGCTCCTTTTGCAACAAGTGCCGCAGGGTTGTCCAGGTATGAAAGAAAGTACAACCTGTCCATGAGAAGCCTTTGTGTCACCACTTCCTGAATAATACTTTTTCCATTGATGGGGCTGGAAGTTGCATGACATACAAATCCACACTTTCTGGTCGCATTTCAACACAGATTCTTTTTCATTGCTAATCATTGACACGATTCGAATAGTCATATTATTGTTGGAAGAATCTTCACTTCACACATTAACTCAAGAGGACATCCTTTTGGGTTAAGCAATCCAAAGAGGAGGGCACTAAAAGCTTTAAAAGAGATCCAGAAACTCATTATACAACGAAAAGCGTCCGCAAAACTTCAGAGCTGCATTAACACAATAGTAAAAAATCCTTGGCAGTCTGTTTCACTGAGGTGCCTCTGTCTTTTCTGTGGTCAAGATGTTTGTGGATGAGCGGATCCTGACTCTTTTCAAAAGGAATGCCCATCACACGCTGACCTACTGGAGTGTTTTCTTCAGCTTCGGACTCTGCATCGCTTTCCTCGGACCTACAATTTTGGACTTGCAATGTCAGACGAACTCAACACTAAGTCAGATCACCTGGGTGTTCTTCTCACAGCAGTTCTGCTTGTTGATCGGCAGCTCAATCGGAGGTGTTTTCAAGAGGACGTAAGTATCTTTCCCCCACACTCTGCAACGCAGGTGCATGAATAATCTGAGACCAACTGAGCATCATTATAACCGTATTCCTGTTCTCTCTTTTTTTTTTAAAGGTTGTTCAGTGCTCTATCTGCCTTATTTGTCTCCGCTCTCCTCATCTCTGTAATATTTGCCATCATCCCTCTGTGCAATAATGTTCTCCTGCTTGCCATCGCCATGGCTGTGTCTGGGTTTGCGATGGGCATTATCGACACCATCGCTAACATCCAACTGGTGACCATCTATCAGAGGGACTCGGCTGTTTTCTTACAGGTGAAAAAGCCTGTACCTTATCTTAAGAAATACAGACACAGTAGCCAGTAGCAGATTCAGATGCAATATAAAGTACAGTTTAGATCTGTCTTTCTGTACAATCATGGCAAACATTCAGTAGGTTTATTTTCTTAAGTTATGAGCTAATTATAGAATACAAAACACAGTAAGTCACGTCTCAGGCCTTTGTCTTCTACGTTTTCACAGGCTCTTCATTTCTTCATTGGGTTCGGAGCCCTGGTGAGCCCACTGATTGCAGATCCTTTCCTCTCAGAGACGGGTTGTGGGAATCACACAGGGAACGGGACTGAGATCATGCATCATTTCAGGAACATGCTGAGAAACAGTCCGATTGCAGAGCACAACATAACTCAGAGCCCCCTACCCCACGAGGGAGGAGAAGAGGAGTCCATTGTGCAATACGCTTTCTGGATCATGGCGCTTATCAATGTAAGACACTTAACAGATGAGGAGAGGAGTTCGTTTTTTTCACTAATATTTCAGTAAATAGTTGAAAATAAAAAGTGACGATAATATTTGTGCACCCTCAGCTGCCCGTGCCCATTGCAGTCCTGTTCCTGATGTATCGGGAGAAGCTGATCCCGTGTTGCCCCAGCGGCACTCCTCGTCTTCTGGACAAAGATGAACTAGCAATGGAGACCCAGCAGGGGGCAGAGGGCTCAGACGTGGAGCAGAAGGAACATGAAGTTGGAGGTGAAGAAGTGATTGTAATACAGGAGTCTTATTTTAATATAAATTTTGCATACTTTCCCTTTTTTAGTGAGTTCAGATGAAAGAAAAAATCCCAAGAAATGCCATTTTGTGTGCTACAGCCTGTCATTTGTGACCTTTCGCTCCGTTACAGGTCATGGGGATATCTTTAGCTGCTGTCAGAATGATAACCTGCGCGGGCTGCCAGTATCCTTCTTTATGATTCATATCCTCGGTGGGATGGTGCTCTTCATGACCGATGGCATTGTGGTGAGTGAGGGGTGCAAACTATAAATAACAGGGCATGCATTTCTCTTAAAATGAAATTTTATGAATGCCTACAAAGCCTGCTTCACGTAAAACTCACAAAGTACGCACATGAAAGAATCTGCCTTTTTATTTTCAGGGTGCATACGCTGGCTTTGTCTACACCTACGCTGTGGCACCACCTATGTTACTGCCTCATAAGACAGCAGGTTACCTGGCCAGTATCTTTTGGGCAGCGATCACTGCTGGACGCCTCCTGTCCATTCCTCTGTCATACCGTTTTCAGCCTGTGAGACTGCTCATGTTCAACCTGGTGAGGCCAATAAAACATTTATAGAGTGGCGTCACATTATAGACGAGACATGCACAATGAAACTAAAAGGTCAAACACCTAATTGATTATACTCTTCCTTTTGTGTTTTTACAGGCAGGTGCTATTGTTACAGTCTTGATGCTGCTTATTTTCTACACCAGCAGCACCTTTCTGTTTGCCGGGACGTGTTTATGTGGGCTCTTCCTTAGCAGCATATTCCCCTGTATGCTGGCCTATACTGAGGACATCCTTGATTATCAGGGTATAATGAAGTGTTTATATTACAATTGTTATACCACAGTAATGGAATCAAAGCAAGGAGAGGAAATTAATCATGCATTTCTTGTTTTGCAGGATGTGCAACGTCAGTCCTGGTGACAAGTGCAGGAATGGGAGAGATGGTAATGCAGGTTCTGGTTGGCTCTGTAAGTCTGATGAGTATCTTTATCATTATAGAAAAAAGAGAGAATGTGAAAAAGTAGAGAAATAGGCTTATAATTGCAAAACCAAGCCCGTTGGAGATTTAGATTAGTGTTCAGTAGTTTAATGTTTCTGTCTCATCCCCAGATTATCCAGACTGAAGGCAGCTACAGCTTCCTGCTGTGTGGAATGATAATCGCCTGCATCGGTTTTATCCTCTTCATTGGTCTCCTGCTGTTCCATCGAATGCACAGAAATTACCTCACAGGTACAGTATCAGCCGGCACCCTCGTACACTGCCGCCTGAGGTTTGTTTTCAATCATTTCACACTCATCATCCCCCCACTCACGCTCCCTCTGCATCCCGACAGGAACGACGAAAAAATCAGCCATGGTGGAGGAACCAGCAACAGAGCAGAATGGATCAGCCAGAACGGAACAGAAAGAGGAGGCAGCTGAGAGCAGCTGAGAGGGGCAGCAGCTGTGTTTTGTCCTTTAGTGGCTACTGTAGGGGATGAAGTATTACAACAATCTATCATCAAAGATGATGGATCAAAGATGTTTTACCAAAGCCTACCAAATGAACATTGTGCCAAAACACTTCTATTATGCTGGAAATTACACAGTACTTGCAAAGAAGATAGAGTGCCACACTGTACTGTTAGAAGTTATAGTTCTAAGTTTTAGGTTGTTTTTCAAATTTCACATTGTGGATTGGTCTGTTTTATATTGCATCAGGGTTTGAAATTTACAATATAAAGATTGTGATTGCCTGTATGATATGTTTAAAGGTCTAATGTGTAGGATTGAGCAGCATCTAGCAGTGAGGCTGCAGATTGCAACCATAGACTGTATGTAAAGCTGGACGACATGACAGCTCCACAAAAGTGAAGCCAGAACATCTTGATCGCCCCCCGGTGGCTGGCTGCAGTAAAGATCAAAAAGCCTGCCCTCTTCATGTTAGTGAATGGGACATGGGCCCAACTAAAAACTCAAAGTACACATCAAATACATTTTTCCCAAAGATGGTTTCTGTCATTTAAGGTAGTTTTTATGAGGCTGATGTTTGTTTGTGTTCGTTTTTCTGGTAAATTTGGATGTAATTAGTTATTTAATCCCATAAAACGGCAATATAACAACATGATTGACATCTGTATGTGCTGATTGGTGGGCTTGCATTCAGTGGCACTGCTCACGATCGGTCAGACGGGTGTATAGGCGGGAAATTTGATAACACTGACATCACTGCTGTGCAGACTCTAGCTCCGAATGACGTCACTGGAGCAGGGTAGCTGCGGCCATACAGTATTTGGGATATTTTAGCTTCACTAAGTGTAACCAACAGAAATGACCTGCTCTGTATGTAGATATAAACAACTCATGTTAAGGTTACAAAATCAGAATGATTCTTAGTTTCAGTTTGATTAAATATAAAAAACTTTTATTATTATTATTATTATATATGTATATATATATATATATATATATATCCCCTAAATCCTACACACTGGACCTTTAAATACTTATTTTTTCTGTTTTGTTTTTTGGTTGTCGTTTTAATTGTATGTAATCATCTGTTGTCATATAATTTAATATGTTTTTGCATATCTAAATATACTTAAATATATATAGACATATGTACATTGAATGCTGTATAATATATATTAAAAGAAACAATTATACTGATACGGTGAACATAAGGGGGTTTTTTTTATTAATTTTTTTTCAAATTTTATATACTTTATTAATCCCCGAGGGGAAATTCAATTTTTCACTCTGTTTGTCAATTACACACAGGTCCGAACACACACATGCACAAACTGGACCTATACATGCACTAAGTGGAGAGATGTCAGAGTGAGCTGCCCATGACAGGCGCTCCGAGCGGTTGGGGGCAACCGGGGCAGTGCCCAGGAGGTGAACTGGCACCTCTCCAGGTACCAGTCCACGCTCCATATTTTGGTCCGGACGGGGACTTGAACAGGCGACCCTCCAGTTCCCAACCCAAGTCCCTATGGACTGAGCTACTGCCGCCCCCATTGGATTGATGCAGACAATTCTGACACCGCATTTTACTGCATTAACTGCATTCGACAGCAACGAAAAGAATGTGGAAGCATACAACACACATGGAACAATCCAAATGTTTATTTTCTTTGCTTTCAAATTTAACCAGTCAAGGGGACAACCTCTGGTTTTACACTGTTAAACATCCAACATGGAAGCAAGGACTTTGCATTCAGTGAAGTTGGACTCTGAGAACTAAGAACAAATGTAAAACAGAGTCATCCAGCCTTTAAACGGTTAACCAGTCAATCTATAACCTCAGCTTTAGGGCCAGTTGCAACAAGAACAGGAGGGGTCAAAGACCAGGCCAGCAGCACATTTCCCAAAGTAGGTTTGGCCATTGCTGCAGCTGTAGTAATGGTTTTTGTTTGTTGGGTCGGGGTACATGCCATTGGCCTTTCCAGAGCAGAACCCGCTGTCCATGCCGCCAGAGTCCCCACTAGAGGAGCTGCCGCCGCTGGAGCCGCCGCTGGAGCTTCCTCCAGAGCTGCCTCCGGAGCTGCCTCCAGAGCTGCCTCCAGTTGTGCTCATACCTGCGATTGGAGGAAGGGGAGTGGCAGGAGGGGCGCAGGCTGAAAACAATAAATTAATTATTTAATTGTTATGTTTTTCCTGAGAACACCTTGAGGATTTCACATTGATCACCACTGATAGAGGTATTTAAAGTCTCACATGCATCATCCAGATTAAGGCCCTTTTTGAGAACATTAATCAGTGGGTATTTTCCCTGGTTGCAGAAAGTGCCCATGTAGTCATCCATGTCAATTGTCCACACCATGGCTCCTCCAAAGTTGCTCTTTTTCAGCCAGTCAACCTACAGACAGCCAGAAGGGGGCGTTGTTGGAAGCATTTTGAGATCAAAACATAGCAACTTCATCAGAAGACCTTGACACAGTGTTTGCTGATAACTGCAGCATGACCCCTTAAATATAAATAAAAATCTAACACATTTACTCCTGTCACATTCTGAGGTAACACAGAGAGAAAACTTTAACATAATGCTTATAAGTCTTGACAGTTTATGGAGATTGGGAAACATTTTTAGCTCAGAGGTAAATCACAGCAGCCAGCAGACTGGCCTGTCAAACAGTAAAACAAGTATTCTGTGCAGCTCTGCTACCTTGATCTGGAAGCTCTTCATGTTGTCATAGCCCACCCACTGGTTTCCCTTGTAGGCATATGGCACATCCTGGGCCTGGTTCCAAACCTCAGTGGCTCCATCTTTCAAAAAGCCGCAGATCTGTAATTTCACAAAGCAGTGCATTAATGACAGCCTAGGAACTCATTCACTTCTTCATCTGGAGCCTGCACCGCTAAGATAAACCAACCTGCTCTGTTATCAAGCGAACAGAAGAATATTAACTAACACTGAACCAGCATCAACATTCAAGCTTATTCTTTATAACTTTATTAAAGAAAGTGTACCTCAAAGTAAGCGAGCTCTCCAGCCTCTTGAGTGTACTTTCCTGGAGTTCCAGCACCAGAAATGGGTGCTCCAACACCGTGGTTGGCAGGGTTCCTCAGAGTGAAGGTGTTGCCATATGTGGGGAATCCAACAATGAGCTTCTCAGCTGGGGCTCCCTGGCTCTTCCAGTAGTTCATGGCATAGTCCTGGAGCAGAGGAATAGGAACAATAAGTGGCTCTGGAGCTAGATACCCTCTGTGGATGCTTTAATGTAACTGCAGCATAAAGTGTATTTATAAAGAATGGACATAGCCACCGTGACATCACCAATTGGTTTGTGGACTTCCGTTACGAAATGTCGAGTTTGGCATTTTGGACGTCACCATCTTGGATTTTTTGAGCCACAGCCAGAGGTGGCCATATTTGGATGAGAGGGTGGAGATAACCCTAACGCTAGCCGCTAGCTGGGTTAGCATGGTGAATTTACAGATATGGTTAACTGCAATATTAGTAATGTTAATTTTAAGTAGCAAAAAACAGGCTTAACACCAATAAAATAAAAAGTACTTACTGTAAAAACTGAATATCCTACTGCTAAGAGGGTCTTAGAGTACAACCAAATGTCGAAGAGGACTTTATAATAAACACCCATGACCTGTAAACACACTAAAATAGTAACAGCCACTGTTACGCCTACACTGCATATCTGGGGTTTCGTCATGGCTGTGTTACCTAAGCAACATTGTCATCGTGATAGCAACTTGACTAGCAAAAATGTAAACGGCTAAGTTATATAAAAACTCACCCCCATATAGTTGTCATGAACGGGGTCTTACGTAAATATTAAACAGTAATTTGTGTATATTGCATGTATTTGAGAAGGCTGCGCTTACATCAATCAATTCAATGATGGGAGCAAAAAATATATAAGGGAGCAATACTGCGAGGTCCGAGGTCGGAGTTGTGGATGGGTCAAAAAACATAGGACTGCCCCTGGGAGACCAGTGTTCAAAACTGTGTGAACTTTAAGTCTTTTTAAGGTGCATCCTCACCATGTTTCTTTTTAAAAATCTAACCATGGTAACTTTATGTGTATTACCTAACCTCCGTAACTTTATATCAGGCAGCCAGTGTAACTTTATGTGAAGTATGCAATGTCATTTGTGGGGCACTAATTCGTAGGATATCATACAAACCATTGTGTAGGGATATGCCGCTGTTATTTGGTTTATTTCTTTTGTAAACTTGGGCATTTTAAGATGGGAGTCTATAGGGACTGACTTGCTCTTGGAGCCAGCCTCAAGTGGCTATGTGTGGGTATGTGTTTTGCAGCCTCGGAGATTGCCGCTTAAGTTGCAGATAAAAATTGCAGACATTAGGTGTATTATGCAGACAAGTCCAGTTTTGGTAACTCTGTTGTTGTGCTGTATGATGATGTTCAAGCACTTACGATATTGAAATAGATGAAGCCACCCTGGTCCTCGGGGCCTCTGAACAGGGGACTGCACTCGCCGGTCATGGGGTCCCAAGAGCCATGGAAGTCATAGGTCATGATGTTGAGCATATCCAAGTTCCTGGGTACAGGAAACAAGAGAGGAAGAGGTTACCATGACAACATTAACAAGCTTAATCATTTAGACTGAAAGAGTGATATTCATATTTGCTTTATTTGGCTATGACCCATTATGTTGCTGTCTGTAAGACTGGACACGCCACAAATATTGCTCCAAGTACTTACTGGCCAAGCTTGGGAATCTGATAAGCAGACTCAATGGTGGCTTTTCCAGCCGACAGAGCCGCAGACATCAGAAGACGAGCCTTGTTGCTCTGCTTGGCCTCGTTCTCAAAGGCAGCTCTCATCTCCTGTTGAATGTCAACAGATATAAAATATTTAGTGTTAACTGAACTCCAGAATTCATAATCCATGATTTGTAACATGGTCAGGTTGTGAGTTATTTTGCTTTTATGTATATTTTATTCAGTGCAGGGCACTGTGGAAACCCCATGGGGATTTATTGTGGCCCTAAAAATGTGCTATCAGGTATGAAATTTTTTAAAAGGTACTGAGAAAAAAACAAACAGTAAAGCAGACTTGGCAAACAAACCTCCAGGAAAACAGAGTAGTACTGCTTATCCTGATAAGAGCCTCCTCTGTTGGCTGGATACTCCCAGTCAATGTCAAGCCCATCAAACTCATACTTCCTCAGGAATGTGATGACGGAGTTGATGAAGGTCTGGCGGTTGGCAGAGCTCAACACCATATTTGAAAATCTAATGTGGGAACAGAAGTATTAAAATAGAAGATGTCCACTATTTAGAGTGCCAAGACTGCAGATATCTGAAGATGATCTCACCCTGTAGAGCCAAAGTTCCATCCTCCAACAGACAGAAGAGTCTTCAGGTTTCCATTCCTACCAAGAAATGAGATGTTTTACACTGCAGTGAAAGTTAAAAACACTCCTACTTTTCTAACTGCACGTTATAAGTAAAACTGTATTGTTCTTTGCAGGTGATATTCAAGAGGAAATAATTAGATGACTCCATTTTAACTCACAAGATTCACAGACAAAACAACTGTCCTATACTAAACACATTTCCCAAACAAATATAACATGCTAACATTATTAGCACAGGCCTATGGTGTTTTACACTGTATGAATAAGCCTATATGAAGCCAGGATAAATCACACACAAGACTTAAAATGCTATTTTTGTGGAGGCTTTATTGTCTTCACAATTTATTGAATCTTATCAGTGAAATTAAATTAAATAAAAGCTTTGTTTCCAGTGGTTTCAGCTTACAAAAATAGACAGGAGGTCTGCGTCACCACATCATTTCTGGGGCGGTGCACATCAGGCTAGGGTGTAGACTCTATGTCTACGCAGAGCCTACGCCATAGGTACAGCGTCGAGTCAATGCAGAAGTATAGTAGAATTCTGACTTCCGCTAAATTTGTGGTGAGGAAACAACTGGCATGTGTCATGATCCAGGGT